AGCGCTGAGCTGAGATCAAGATTCAGATGCTTCACCGACTAAGCCACCCAGGTGCCCCTCCTTTGTCGTCTTAATTCCTGCCACCTGCTCTGTAGGTCCCAAGTGCCTGGAGTTGAAGAGGGTCTCAATCACCATCCTCCTAGTCTAGACCGCTTTCTTTCTTTCTTTTTTTTTCTTTTTCTTTAAGTAGGCTCTACTCTCAATATGGGGCTTGAACTCACAACTCCGAGATCAAGAATTGCACACTCTACTGACTGAGCCAGCCAGGTACCCCGAGACGATTTAAAAAAAAAAAATTTTTTTTAATGTTTATTTTTGAGGCAGAGAGAGAGAGAGAGAGAGAGACAGTGCTAGCAGGGGAGGAGCAGAGAGAGAGGGAGACACAGAATCCGAAACAAGCTCCAGGCTCTGAGCTGTCAGCACAGAGTCCGACACTAGGTTCGAACCCACGAACCGCGAGATCATGACCTGAGCCAAAGTGGGATGCTTAACCGGCTGAGCCACCCAGGCGCCCCCTGGACCACTTTCTTGATTTAACATAGCCTGGGGGCACAATTCAGAATGTTGGACTGTCTAGATTCCAGCCTTCAGCACCGGCAGATAAACTTGTTTGGAACAGGAGGCTGCCTGTGTGTCCTCAGCTTCCACTGGTCCCAGTTCTGGGCTGCAGACAGGGCACAGCCTGGAGAGCAGTGGCCGTGTGGCACTGTCTGGATCTCTGCATCGCTGTAGATGGTTGACTCTCATCGCTTGGGCCACTTCAGGAATAGCTGGGTGATGGATACTGATGAATCAAACAGGATACCTGGCAAACGTCACTCGGCACCGAAAGGCTAGACCTTTTCTTGTGACACGTGTAGCCCCACACAGGTGTCACAGAGCAGTTGCTCATGTTCAGGGTGACACGGGACAAGCAAGAACAAAATCACAGCTCTCGTTTGCAATTAAAACCACCTGTACGAAGATTTTATTAGTTAATTGACTTGATTTCGCAGGACTTTCCTTACATGATGCCTATCAGCCCTTCCCTCCCGCCAGCCTGGGGAAACGCTTCCTTCTCTATTTACACTGAGGAACACGTTTCTCCCTGTGAATGAAAAATGTTATTAAACATGGAGGTGACCTTTAGAAAGACGGTTACCACAAGGGACAAACTGGGTCAGTCCATCTGTGTCAGTCCGTCTGCAGAAGGTCTCTGTAACTGGGATTGAAAGCATTTGAAGAAATGCTGTAGGGAGGGGAGAACGGCGTTTACACACAAGACGGCCAAGGAGAGAGTCATTTAGGGGAAGTTCTTGGAAGTTTAATGAACCCAGAGCAACAGAGCCTGGATGAAGACAACGTTGGAATGCAGTGGGTAGAGGCGTGGGTAGGAGAGAAGGAAGGGGTGATATGAAGAACAGACCTTCTTTCTTTTAAGTGTATTTATTTGGGGAGAGAGAGAGAGAGAGAGAGAGAGAGTGAGCCTGAGCAGGGGAGGGGCAGAGAGAGAATTCCAAGCAGGCTCTGCGCTGTGGGGCTCGAACCCGTGCACCATGAGATCATGACCTGAGCTGAAATCAAGAGTCGGGTGCTTAACTGACAGAGCCACCCAGGCGCCCCCAAAACAGACTTGCTTTTAGGAAGTTTGCCCAGAGAAGGAGGGACACAGAAGAGGACACTATTATTAAAATTTTTTTTTTAATTTTACGTTTATTTAGTTTTGATAGAGACAGAGCACAAGTGGGGGAGGGGCAGAGGGAGAAGGAGACACAGAACCGGAAGCAGGCTCCAGGCGCCGAGCTGTCAGCACAGAGCCCGACGCGGGGCTCGAACCCACAAACCGCTAGATCACGACCTGAGCCAAAGTCATGCTTAACCGACTGAGCCACCCAGGCGCCCCAGGACACTATTATTTTAATATACAAGAAGCTTGAGGGATTTATGTGTTGAGAAGGAAGAAGCAGTGGGAACAGGTTGAGGACTCAGTTGGGAGAGCAAAGTCCCCACGGAAGGGCAGGCTGTGCGTCAGCACAGGGGCTGAGCCGCACGGAGGTCGGACCCTTCTCTCTCCCAGACGAGATGCAAGGAGCGTCTGGTGGGTGTGGACGCAGGTCATTTAAGATTTCACCCAGGACATAGGAGGCAAGGTCATCTGCCGAAAGCATGGAGGTGATGAAGCATATGTGTGACAGGTGAGTGGCTGAAAAGACGTTGTGGACCACGGGAGGGTGGGTTGACTGGGACACGCAGAAGGCCCGGTGCGGCAGGACACCTTGAAACCATCATGCTGGGAATCCACAGAGCAGGTGAACCTTCTCCATCAACAGGTGGGACCCAAGAGGGCGGAGGTCGGGGGTTGATGGGGCCACTGTGATGGAAACGAGGGCGTGAAAGTTCTGCCAGCAAAGGGGCTGCCCTCAGAGCGAGGTGGGGCTAGAGGAGGGGAAAGCGAAGGGCAGAGAAGGTGGGAGAAAAAGGAAGGAGTGTCTCAGGTCCACAGGTCCTGCGGGGCGCTGCAGAGGAGAGAGCAGCAGACAGGTAGGTACGAGGTCGCAAGTTCCAGGTGGCAGAGATGCGGCCATGGGACGCAGAGGTGGGGCAAGAGGCGCCTGCAGGCAGAACCGGTTGGCCACAGAGAAGGATAAGGATTCACAACGGCAGACCTGAGGAGCCAGCTGGCTGCTGGCACCTCTCCGGGTCTGGTGGCGGCAGTGACCCGGGAAGCTGACCAGGTGCCACTTGGGGACAGGAGGGGAGCTGTTGTCCTGGGGAAGAGCCAGGTTTCAGGCAAGTCCCATCGAAGGTGAGAGCATAAAAAGGAGTCTTTCAGGGAGGAGGGAAGGTTCTAGAGAACACAACAGGAAGGCTTGTAAGGGAACAACAGTCAGCTGGAAGAAAACCAGGCAGGTGGGGTTTATGTGATTTATGGCGAGGGCCCTAGGGCAGCCCTCTCGCTGTAGGCAAGGTCACCTGCAGCCTAGGAAGTCTAGGGACTCTGGAGCAGCACTGGGGGAAAGCCTACATCCCCAAACCTCAATCCCTGGGCAGGAAGTCCTTGAGCCCTTAGATGGTGCCCAAAGAACGTGTCACAGCCAGCAGGTTTCTGACATAGCTTCACCTTTTTGTTCTTCTTGGCTAGCTGTGTGCAGAAATTTCAGAAAGTGACCTTAAGTGGCCTCTTTTCTGTCATCAGAACTGCTAAGCTTGCCACAGGGCATTGTCTTGTGTCTAGATGACCTTTGTGCCCCAAAGGACTTGGAATCTGGCTGGGACAGGACATACGGAGGAGGTCTGAAAGCAGCCACACAGGAGCGTCTTGGTCTATATGGATCAGCGGCCACCTCCACGTTCAGCCCACACTCTGCCCCTCCCCCCCCATCGTTGTCTTTCCTCCCGTGTCAGTTGCCAATGATGAGCATGTGTTATTCAGAAATTAGAAATTTGGGGGACACTTAAAAAATTTTTTTTAATGTTTATTAATTTTTGAGAGAGACCGAGTGTGAGTGGGGGAGGGGCAGAGAGAGAGGGAGACACAGAATCCGAAGCAGGTTCCAGGCTCTGAGCCACCAGCACAGAGCCCGACGTGGGGCTCGAACTCACGAACCATCATGAGATCATGACCTGAGCCGAAGTTGGACGTTTAACCGACTGAGCCACCCGGGGGGGGCCTCTGAAACATTTTTTTAAGAAAGAAAAAAATAGACTGTGATGAAAGTAAGGAGAAGCAGTAACGTAGCCAGAGCCTAGGGAGACTGCTGCTTGATCTGAGGCTTGATTATTCAGGTCCAGTTTTGGGGAGCGGGGGCGCAAAGACACTTGAGAGTGGTGCTGTCTGTGCTTTCAAAGTGAGTCACAGTGCAGGTGTAACACCGATCGATCCATTTCCGAGGTGCCTGGCTTATCGGGCGGGTGTGGGTGCTGCTGGCTGACTCCGGCTTTGCAATGTTCCAGTCATACCTTCGTGGAACAATGGGAGCAGCCAGTGATAAGATCGATCTTGGCCTAGATTCATTATTTCATCAGGGCTTTCAAAGAGGTGCCTCTCGAAGTTTCTTGCATTTATTGACTGTGATTCCTATCTAAAGAACCTTTGCTTCTCTTCAACCCTGTGCTGTCCCTGAACTACCCTCAGGAAAAGGCAGGACGGAGAAGGTTTAACGCAACCAGGAGGAAGCAATTGGCCAATTCCAGACCCGAGTTCTCTAATAAATGGCATTTAAAAAAAGATGGGGCACCTAGGTGGCTCAGTCAGTTGAGCGTCCGACTTCGGCTCAGGTCATGAGCGGCGAGGCAGTTCATGAGTTCGAGCCCCGTGTCGGGCTCTGTGCTGACAGCTCAGAGCCTGGAGCCTGCTTCGGATTCTGTGTCTCCCTCTCTCACTACCCCTCTCCCACTCTCTCTCTCTTTCTCTTTCAAAAATTAAAAAAAAATAAAGAAAAAAAAAGAAACCAGAAATATTACAAGAGACTTGGAGTATGTAACCCAAGTCTTTATGCCATATATAGACTTGGGATCTTGATCTGAACTAACCAATTTTTTAAACAGCCATGAAGGGGCACCTGGGTGGCTTAGTCGGTTAAAGCATCTGACTTTGGCTCAGATCAAGATGTCATGGTTCATGAGTTCAAGCCATGCACGGGGCTCTTCACTCTCGGTGGGGAGCTGGCTTCATATCCTCCGTCTCTGTCTCTGTCTCTCTCTCAAAAAAAAAAAAAAAAAAAAAAAAAGTCATGGCGAGGAGGAGAGTGAACATGGACAAATGTATTCTATTATATCAAGAACAGTCAATTTGTTTGAGTATGACTGTGGTAGTGTTAGAGACCTGCGAGGTGTTTCTGGGTAAATAAAATGATAGCAGATTTGCTCTAAAAGACACCAATAAAACAAATAAATGCAGGCAGTGGAGACTCAGGAACCGTAGACTATGGATCCCGGCTGAGTCTGGGTGATGGGTACAGACAGGGAGGTCCATTCTACCATTCCACTCGCGCATATTTGATTTGAAAATATTAAATTAAAAAAATTACATGGGTTGAACTTACACAAGTTTTTTTCCATTTTTCTTCCCACAAAGTAATTCTGAACATCCACGCCAGGTCCTGCTCTCATCCTGGCCTGCCGTCCTAAGTTTCAACCCCTCTCTGTATTGGCAAGCCAGCCTTAGCACCCCAGACTCTGTGCAGTGGGCTCCCGAGAGCTCCCAGGATTCTCTGCAGGGCTCGGGGTACAGGAGAAAGCCTCAGGTGACCTGGGGCTGCAGTCAAAGTAGAAATCATTTGTGCAAAAGCCCGTTGTACCCATTCGCAGCCCCCTCCTGATGCCTCTCTCAAATCAACAGGAGGGCAGGAACTCTGTGAGCTCAAAGGCTTGAGCCTGAATAAAGATTAACTATTATGAAATCAAAGATAATTAAACATGAACATTAACATTTCTTCTAGTACATTTCATCCAGGGTTAAAAACCACCCTGACTTTTAGAAAGGACGTTGGTGATGTAAAGCAAGAAACATATGTTTGTATCCTCTGATACAGCAATTCTATGTTCAGGAAACTAGCCTGAGGCAATAATCAGAAAATGGACAGAGATTAGTGCCGAAGGGTATTAACTGTGGCATTTTTAATATATCTCAATATAGACAATT